TGTTATTTCCAATCCTAACGACTCTCATTAGCCTCTTTAATAGTCCGGTTAATGATCTGAGATCACGTGAGCGGTCTGATGTTGTGTGTGTCAGGTCATGTACGGCTGATATTGATCATGTTAGTGTGTTTTTCATGCTCATGCAGTGATTTTCCCGTCAGATTATGATCTGTGACGAGGTCAGCATTGATGAGCTTCACGCTGTGCTCATTCAGAGAATCCAAAAGCACACGACAGCCAGTCAAACCAGCGGCGGATCGGTCCCGCCGTCAGACAGCGCTCCTGCATTTCATCTGCAGGTTTATTATCAGCTGGGATCAGAGCTTCAGTCACACACACGTGATGCTGGGAGTGTTTACAGTAGATACAGATTACAGTAGAAATGATCACAGACACTGAAGATATGCTGTGTTTAGATGATGTTATGATGAACATCACACACACACACCTGTAGATCAGATCCTTCAACAGCATTTATGGAAATATTACAGGTTTAACACAATATAATATATTTTTAAAAAAATTTTTGTATATATTGTTGCAATATTATTGTTAATATTAATGTAATTCTGATCTGCAAGGCTCACAGAGATGCTTCACACTCAGACGTGCCACAGCACATTAACATACACAAAACACACAGTGTGTGTATGTGTGTGTGTGTGTGTGAGAGAAAGTGTAGTGTGTGTGTGTGTGTGTGTGAGAGAGAGTGTAGTGTGTGTGTGTGTGTGTGTGTGTGTGTGTGTGTGAGAGAGAGAGAGAGAGAGTGTATGTAGTGTATGTTGTGTGTGTGAGTGTGTGTGTGTGTGTGCGTGTGTGTGAGAGCAGAGCTGTTCTTTGATTCTAATATCCTCTCCTTTCATCACTTGACACCATTAGGTCGTTCAGGTCGTGTTGTTTGTGTTCGTTCAGGTGTGTTGAGAATTAATCGCTCTATAGACAGACGCTTTCACACTGACATGAAGCCATCAGGTCAAACGCTTCCCATCAGCCTCTGCTCCATTTATAGAAGGGAGTTGGATACATATATTATTATTGTTATAGTTTTTATTTTTATATTTTCCATTGTAATTTTCATTTTAGTTACAATTTTAGAAATTCCGTGTGCATTTATTTTTTATTTTTATTTATTTTAAATTATTATTTTTTTATTTCAGTTTGGTTAATTTAGTTCAAATTAAACTGATAAATGATAAAAATCTCATTTTGAGAGATACATATATTTTTAAAAATGTATTTATTCCAGTTAACATTTACTATATTTAAAAACAAACAAAGATGTTTTAGTTTTAATTTTAGTTACCTATATGTATGCACACTAAAAATACAGTAAAAATCGTAAAAAAATAAATTTTAAATAATTCTCTGATTAATAGAAAGTTCAAAATAACAAAATATAAAATGTCTTTACTGTCACTTTTGATCAATTTAATTCAGCTTTGATCTGAAGAACACAAAATAACATATTATAGTTTTTCAGACTCTCAAAATATCCTCTTTTGAGTCGCGCAGAACAAACGTCAAACAGGTTTGAGTGACATGATGATTTCTGTGTGAACTGTCCCTTTAAGAAGCATCTTCCCGCTCCTCTGAGTCTCATAATGTTTCAGAAGTGTGTTTGATTTCATTATATGCTGTAATTGAGTATGTTGAGAGCATCATTACTGCTGTTTGGTGGTTTTTAACCCATTGTAATTGGTGAGTTAGTTCAAACCCGCCGGTGATAGAGGAGATGCCCACTTTAATGGAAATCGTTTGGGTTTAATTAGTGCAATACAGCGCAGATAAACAGTGATTTACTTAAAGGAATAGCTGACCCAAAAATTAACATGTGCTGTACATGTGCTCACCATCAGTTCATCTGAGATCAGGATGAGTTTGTTTCTTCATCAGGTTTGTAGAAATGTAGCACTGCATCAGTGTCTCAGCAATGGATGCTCTGCAGTGAATGGGTGCCGTCAGAATGAGAGTCCAAACAGCTGATAAAAACATCACAATAATCCACAAGTAATCCACAGCACTCCAGTCCATCAGTTAACATCTGGAGAAGACAAAAGCTGAAACTAATCCAGCATTAAGACGTTTTTTAATTTCAAACCATGCAGTGGCCTCGCTTATTCTCTTAGAATTGGAACAATTAAAAATTAAATTAAGTTAAGATTTGATAGTTATTATCCTTTGTTTTCCAGTGCAAATGCCGAAAGATTCTTAAATCAAGACACGTTTGGTTTCAGAAAACAGGACTCCTCATCTTCTGTCATTTTGCTTCTCAAGTATCTTGATTTCGATTCAGAAGTTTAGATAATTTTACTGGAAAACGAGAGTAAAAAAATTTTTTTGCAGTGTGATTACAAAGGAAAAGACTGACTGACATGTAAAAGAGCTCAGTTGTTTTTACATGCTGTTGTGGTGCATGTTTATGTGAAAACTATGGCATAAAAACAAACAAGGTAATTGTAACATTTAAAGCTCATAATTCTGAGCTTTTTCCCTGAAAATTGCAGGTTTATACCTTACAGTTGCAGTTTAAACTCATAATTGTGAGCTTGCATCTTGCAATCCTGCCGGAATTCTGACTTTACCTCTCGCAATGTTTCACCGTGAAAAAAAATAAAATAAATAAATAAATAAAAATAATGACTTTTTATCTCATTCTGATTTTTTCCCCTTAGAATTAGGAGGGGGGGAGTCTGAATCAGGTGATATATAGTCACAATACTTTTATACAAATCGATCGATACACTTTTTATTGTGGTTCAAACTCAGTTTCTGTGCCGGTGGAGCTGGTTTGTTAGGTGTAATGAACTGAAATAGTTTCTCAGACGAGTGCATGTGGTTTGAGTTCAGAGGGAATATTCTCATGTGTGTCTGTGTTTGTGTTTGTCTGAGTCTGTCAGAGGAGCACAGAGGCGCTCTGTCTGATCTTATTCGTCTGATCTCTGGCTCTCTGCATCCGTTTGTTTGTGTTTTTCAGACTGAAGGATAGTTTCGTTCCTTAACCAGTCATGTTAAGCATCTTAACTAGTTATGGGTTTCACCATTCTGTGTAACCATACTATCAAATATAAACAGTTGAAGCGGCTGCTGGTTTCTGAGTGCACTTAGTAGACGACACACTTCTTCATTACCTCCATGATTAGACAGCACTCACAAGAATTCTAAAATATTAATATGATAATCAAAAGTATCAGTGCAGCTTTATTGAATTTGTTTCAACAATTCAGTCATTATAATTTAAGTAAATAATTGTCAATATTTATTTTACTGAATATTATGAATAATAATAATAATAATAATAATAATTGTTGTTGTTGTTATTATTATTATTCAAGTGAATGTTTTATTTTGAATGATATATAATTATAATTATGTATATAATTATATATTATAATTAATTATAAATGAATAATGATCAATAATTCAATATTTATTTTACTCAATAAATCACATAAGCATCTAAATGATCAAAGCAACATTTTTTTTTGTCATTTTCAGTAATTACCAATATTTTAAAAATAAATTATTTTTGAAAATAAATATTAACTCAGCTGAGCTCAATGCATATGTGTAGTATTGTGTAATGAATATAAATGAACATGATATTTTGAAAAGGAATATTTTAATGTTGGGTAATTTTCAATAATAACTCATATGGTCTCGTTCTGCTGTGGTTTGTTTCTGGCTCTTCTGCAGCGTCTCACTCATTTCTCTTCTTTAAAGTGGACAAACATCACAAACCCATCTCATTCCAATCAGGCCGATGCTGGCCGTCTGAAGATGAGCGTTCAGACTGTTATTGAGATGAGGCCGATCGATACGTCATTTTCCTGCTGAAATGAGCCAGTCTGTGCTTTGACTTTATTCATGACATACGTCCATCTGCACCATCTCAGCTCGTTTAACACTTTAATGATGTGTGTGGATCTGTGTCGGTCTCTCTCAGGTTATGCTGCTCCGCTGTGGCTGCAGATTTGACCGGATTATGTTGATTTATTGGCTGAGTTTGATTTATGTGAAGCAGGAGTTCAGATCCTCTGTCTGCTGCTGATATGTTCATATTCCAGACTGCTGTGTCAGTCTCCTCTCCTCACACGAGCTCTCATATAAACACTACAGTCAGCTGTCTGCGGTCTACATAGTCTGCTGCCTTCTGAGGGAGCCTCCTCACTGCAGTGGACCCTCAGAAGTGAGCGATTTGAAGCACTCTACAAAGGCAACTTACAAATTAGAAATGCAACAAACTTTTATTTAATTTAATTTTATTATTTTCAGTTTATCTAAAGCAACTTACAAATGAGGTATACAAGAAGTTTTTATTTTATTATACAACAGTTTTTATATTATTTCATTTAATTTCATTTAATTTCATTTAATTTAATTTCAATTCAATTCAATTCAATTCATTTCCATTCAATTCAATTCCATTCAATTCAATTTAATTCAATTCAATTTCATTCCATTTCATTTCATTTCATTTCTATTCTATTGTTCAGAAAATGCTTTTATCTAAAGCAACTTACAAATGAGGGATACAAAAAGTTTATTTTATTTTATTATACAACAGTGTTTATTTTGTTTTGTTTTATCTTATTTTATTTTATTTTGTTTTACCTTATTTCATTTCATTTCATTTTTAATTTAATTTAATTTAATTTTATTTTATTTAATTTTATTTTATTTTATTTTATTTTATTTTATTTTCAGAAAATGCTTTTATCTAAAGCAACTTACAAATGAGGAATACAACAACATTTTATTTTATTTTATTATCTAAAACATGCTTTTATAAAAAGTGACTTACAATTGAGGAATACAGCAGTTAATATAGATTATATTTCATGCACATTTACATTTCTTCATTTAACAGACAAATGAGGAAAACAACAAAGCATCAGACATTGAATGAAAGTCTCAGATCATAATAGATTCCTCTAGAGTTTGATGCAGATGCATGTGATGATCCTGTGATGTTTATGGTGTCTCTCTCTCTCTGTTCTCAGTGCCTCCTCAGTTCCTCAGCTACCCGTCGAACACGTATGCGTATGAAAGCACGGACATCGAGATGGAGTGTGCCGTGGCGGGAAACCCGCAGCCCACCGTCCGCTGGGTGAAGAACGGAGAGGCCGTCATTCCCAGCGACTACTTCCAGATCGTGGTGAGAAATACAGCTAGTGTTTGGAGGAAGTTTGTTTGGTTCAGATCACTAGGATTAGAATTTACATTTACATTTAGTCGTTAGCAGACGCTTTTATCCAAAGCGGACAATGAAGCAATCAAAATCAACAAAAGAGCAATAATATGCAAGTGCTATAACAAATCTCAGTTAGCTTAACACAGTACACGCAGAATTCATTCATTCATTCCTATTTATTTATTTGTTTGTTCCTTTCTTATTCATTCACTGGTTCTCATGCATTTATTTATTCATTTATTTTTATTAATTTAGTCATTCATCATCATCATCATCTATTTATTTATTTGTATTTATTATTCATATTTATTTTATTTAATTGTTTTAATTATTAATTTTTATGTATTCATTCATTCATTCATGTTTATTTATTTGTATGATTAATTATATCATTTTTATTTTAATGTATTACTTTTATTCATATTGAAATATCTTACGAGAAACTTATTGTTATTTTTTTTGTTGTTGTTTTTTCTCTATCTCTCTGTAATGTGCTAATATATCATAAGTGCATGAGCCCATTTAAGCTCACATGTGAGAAGGTCCTGAAGTCTGATGATTGTCATGTGTGTCTGGTCTGCAGGAGGGCGGTCATCTCCAGATTCTGGGTCTGGTTCGCTCAGACGAGGGTTTCTATCAGTGTATCGCTGAGAACGAGGCGGGAAACAGTGTGTGTGTGTGTGTGTGTGAGTGAGAAAGCATTTGTTTCAGAGGACGTGCGTTTGTGAGGTTTAGTCTTGAGATCCGGATCTGTGTGATCTCTGAGAGATTTCCCAGAATGCCGTGCTGTGCGTGTAGAGCACTGATCCAGGGCTTTATCTGAAGAGAGACAGTGATGTAGAGATGATGTTCTGCTGGTGTTCAAATGAGTGAGATTCTGTCTGAACCTGCCGTGACTGTCATACGGAACGACTGCTTTCTGCTTATATACACCGATGCATTAGGAAGCTCCGCTCAGACGAGGGTTTCTATCAGTGTATCGCTGAGAACGAGGCGGGAAACAATCAGGCGATGGCTCAACTCATCCTGCTGCAGCCCGGTAAGATCCAACACACTGGACACGCTCATATGCTGATCTGAGACCTGTGAGCGTCCTTCATCTGCACGCTTGCACACGCAGTGTGTGTGTGTGTGTGTGAGAGAGAGAGAGAGAGAGAGGGTGTGTGTGTGTGTGTGTGTGTGCGAGAGAGGGTGTGTGTGTGTGTGTGTGTGTGTGGGTGAGTGAGAGAGAGGTTCAAATGAGTGAGATTCTGTCTGAACCTGCCGTGACTGTCATACGGAACGACTGCTTTCTGCTTATATACACCGATGCATTAGGAAGCTCCGCCTCCAGTCTAATTTCATTGGTCAGCCAAGTTTCTGCCAAAATACCACAATTACCACTAGGGTTGGGGAAAGTTAAAAGTAATGCATTACAATACTGCATTACTCCTTAAAAAGGTAACTAATTACATGACTTAGTTACTTTTTATGAAAAGTAATGTGTTACGTTACTTTCGCATTACTTTTTAAACCTGGGCTGGGCTTGCTTGATAGTTTTTAATATAAAAAGTTTTATTTTTAGCTATTGTAAAAGCCCTTTGACACCAAAGGTGAAATTAATACGCCTCAGGCTGAAGGAAATGTAAATTCACATATTTAATTAATTGCATGTTTACCTCATATTCCTGAGGTTTGCATTTCACTGTTTTTATTGATTTTGAGGAATACTGAATCTATTTTTGTGCATGTTCACACAGCGCACACAACGCCTCTGCACTCACTCCTGATTTCTCTCAACATGGCAACACGAGAGCTGTCATTCAATATATGGGAAACAAAGTAACTTGCATTACTTATTTGAAAAAGGAACTCAGTTATTTTCTTGTAAATTAAAAACTAATGCATTACTTTACTAGTTACTTGTAATGCGCCCAACACTGGTTACTACTGTTTATTACATTTACATTTATTCCTTTATGTCTTTGTGAGAGAGAGAGAGAGAGAGAGAGAGTGTGTGTGTGTGTGTGTGTGTGTGTGTGTGTGTATGTCGGCTCAGTAACACAAACACACACACACACACACTGAGGTAGTTAAGCGCTGCGTCACATGCTGATTTCCTGCAGCTTATGTGTTTATGGGCCTGTAACGAGGTTTCGTTCATTCACTCGCTTTCTGCAGGGCTTTCATCTGAGAACTTTCATCATGTTCTTCATGATTTTGAGGGTTTGGGAGCAGACATGTGATATTTGTATGTTAGTTACTTCACTTGTCAGTAGAAATTCTAAAAATTAGAATGCATTAAATGAATCAAAAGTGGCAGTAAAGACATTTATAATGTTTCAAAATATTTATATTTCAAATAAATGCTGTTCGTTTGAACTTTCTATTTCACGGTTTCCACATAAATATTGGACAGTACAACTGTTTTCAACATTGATAATAATCAGAAATGTTTCTTGAGCAGCAAATCAGCATATTAGAATGATTTCTGAAGATCATGTGACACTGAAGACTGGAGTAATGATGCTGAAAATACAGCTGCGCATCACAGAAATAAATTACAGTTTAACAGATATTCACACAGAAAACAGCTGTTTTACATTCTAATAATATTTCACTTTGACCGTATTTTTGATCAAATAAACGCAGCTTTGTTGAGCAGAAGAGACTTCTTTCAGAAACATTACAAAATGTTACCGACCTCAAACATTTGAACGGTAGTATTTATTTCAAAATATACCAGAATATATTGCTAATATAGATAATATAGAAGTTTTCAAAAATGTAAAGTTTCCCTTAGCTGCATATAGTTGCATGGGATCATCAGTCACTGTAGTAAGTGAAGTTGAACCTCAAACTTTCCTTTAAAGTGACTGCAAACATCTGCTGTGAAACACACTGATATACGCACACACGTACAGCATTAGTGTGTGTTTGTGGGAGGTTTGGGATCAATCTGTCTGCCGCAAATGCAACTTCTGCCAAAAACCATCTGCTGTTGATAAATGTCTCCCACAGAAATGTGAGAAGATTAAAAATACCTGAATCACAATGTCATGTCAATCAAAAAACTATTAGCGGCAGTTTGAAACTCAAGCGAAGGTTTTAATTAAGCAAGAATGAGAGTAAAGCTCTGCGGTTCCTCTGCGGTTCCTACTGTTTTAATCACGGATCCCTGCGGTAAACATCGCAGACGGCGCCTGCATTCACTGCGCAGAAACAGCAGTTGCCATGGCACGACTACAGCACGAGCGGAGCTGTGATTTTTAACAGGGTTTATGAGAGCCTGGTGTTCAGACGTCCCATAATGCCAGTAGAGAGACGCTCGCAGTCTCATTAATGCTGTCAGCACTTAACAAAAGCACTATAGAGTTAAGGATCACACACTCTATTAAATTCAATAGCTGTCCTGACAGACACACAAAAGCTGCTCTCTATGGAGCCTGAGTGTAAACTCAATCCATCCCAGATAAATGAGACAAGGATGAGACCAGAGGAGGTGATCTGAGACAAGGGTGAGACGAGAGGAGACGCTGTGAGACGAGGGTGAGAGCAGAAGAGACGCTCTGAGATGAGGGTGAGACCAATTTATTTCAAAATATACCAGAATATATTGCTAATATAGATAATATAGAAGTTTTCAAAAATGTAAAGTTTCCCTTAGCTGCATATAGTTGCATGGGATCATCAGTCACTGTAGTAAGTGAAGTTGAACCTCAAACTTTCCTTTAAAGTGACTGCAAACATCTGCTGTGAAACACACTGATATACGCACACACGTACAGCATTAGTGTGTGTTTGTGGGAGGTTTGGGATCAATCTGTCTGCCGCAAATGCAACTTCTGCCAAAAACCATCTGCTGTTGATAAATGTCTCCCACAGAAATGTGAGAAGATTAAAAATACCTGAATCACAATGTCATGTCAATCAAAAAACTATTAGCGGCAGTTTGAAACTCAAGCGAAGGTTTTAATTAAGCAAGAATGAGAGTAAAGCTCTGCGGTTCCTCTGCGGTTCCTACTGTTTTAATCACGGATCCCTGCGGTAAACATCGCAGACGGCGCCTGCATTCACTGCGCAGAAACAGCAGTTGCCATGGCACGACTACAGCACGAGCGGAGCTGTGATTTTTAACAGGGTTTATGAGAGCCTGGTGTTCAGACGTCCCATAATGCCAGTAGAGAGACGCTCGCAGTCTCATTAATGCTGTCAGCACTTAACAAAAGCACTATAGAGTTAAGGATCACACACTCTATTAAATTCAATAGCTGTCCTGACAGACACACAAAAGCTGCTCTCTATGGAGCCTGAGTGTAAACTCAATCCATCCCAGATAAATGAGACAAGGATGAGACCAGAGGAGGTGATCTGAGACAAGGGTGAGACGAGAGGAGACGCTGTGAGACGAGGGTGAGAGCAGAAGAGACGCTCTGAGATGAGGGTGAGACCAGAGGAGACAATCTGAGATGAAAATGAGACCAGAGAAGATGATTTGAGACAAGGGTGAGACCAGAGGAGACGCTCTGAGATGAGGGTGAGACCAGAGGAGACGCTGTGAGACGAGGGTGAGACCAGAGGAGACACTCTGACACGAGGTTCAGACCAGAGGAGACGCTGTGAGACGAGGGTGAGACCAGAGGAGACGCTCTGAGATGAAAATGAGACCAGAGAAGATGATTTGAGACAAGGGTGAGACCAGAGGAGACGCTCTGAGATGAGAATGGGACCAGAGGAGACACTGTGAGACAAGGTTGACACAAGAGGAGACGCTGTGAGACTAGGATGATACCAGAGGAGATGCTGTGAGACGAGGATGAGACCAGAGGAGATGCTGTGAGACGAGGATGCGACCAGAGGAGACACTCTGACATGAGGATGACACCAGAGGAGACACTCTGAGACTAGGATGAGTCCAGAGGAGAAACTGTGAGACGAGGATGACACCAGAGGAGGCACTGAAGAGACCAGAAGAGACGCTCTGTGACCAGAGGAGACACTCTGAGATGAGGATGAGACCAGAGGAGACGCTGTGAGATGATGAGGAGTCCAGAGGAGACACTGTGAGACGAGGATGACACCAGAGGAGACACTGATGAGACCAGAGGAGATGCTCTGAGAACTGATGAGACACTGTGAGACGAGGATGAGACCAGAGGAGACACTGATGAGACCAGAGGAGATGCTCTGAGACCTGATGAGACACTGTGAGACGAGGATGAGACCAGAGGAGACACTGTGGGACGAGGGTGAGACCAGAGGAGATGCTGTGAGACGAGAGTGAGAAAAGAGGAGACAATGTGAGACAATGATGAGATGCTCTGAGACACCGATGAGACCAGAGGATACACTCTGAGATGAGGATGAGTCTCATTACATCCAGGCCAGGGTTATTAAAGTTAACTAAAACTGAACCATTAAATCGATTAAAACCATTACATCTTATCTGAAATAAAATAAACATTAACTGAGATGTATGCAAAAATGACAATAAGAATATTACTAAAGCTTTAGCTAAAACTCAAACTCAAACTAAAATTAAAACCATTAAAACTTGTTACTTGAAATAAAATAAACACTAAAAATAACTAAAAATTATAATATTTATATTAAAAAAAACTTGCCACTTGCAAGGCAACAATAATTCATGTTGTTTAACGTGATGTACTAAAATAACTAAAAATAAGACAAAAAATATTAATAAAACAAAAAAGCCTAAGGCAAACAAAATTACTAAACCTTTATTTAAAATTGGAATGAAAAATATAAACTACAGTAGCATCTCAATGATAGCACTGACAGAGTCAGGTTTCTAAACAGTTCTGATAAAAAAGGTTTGAAGCCTTTAAATGAATGTGTGTTTACCAACGATCAGATGTTTCTTTATCATTGGTGTTTGTATCTATGATTTGTGATGAGATGAAGACGTGAGTGATTCGCAGAGCTGTCAGTAAAATCCCAATCCACACACTCACACAGATCCAGGCCGGGGTTTGAGTCGGACAGCAGTGCAGCAAGACTGAGACTTAAACACATGAAACACTCAGATGGAGAATGACT